CTCTCTTTCTTTCTTTCTTTCTTTCTTTCTTTCTTTCTTTCTTTCTTTCTTTCTTTCTTTCTTTCTTTCTTTCTTTCTTTCTTTCTTTCTTTCTTGCCAGTCCTCGGGCTTGAAATCAGGGCCTGGGCGCTGTCCCTGAGCTGCTTCTGCTCAAGGCAGGTGCTCTACCACTTTTACTATTTTTAAAAAATCATTTTTATCTTTGGAAACTGAATTTGGTATTACTTTTAAAAATACTAATTTCTGGCACTTAGATAAAAATTTGACTCACAGATTTTAAGCAAAATGTACAAATGTTTATAGTCTTCATTGCACTATGTTAAAGAGTAATTTGATTAGGTCACAAAGTCAATTATGTAGTTACGTTGCTACCTGTCTTCCAACACCGGGGGAGCTATGGCAGGAGGCTCATGGGTTTGAGGCCCACCTGGTGGGCCTTAGAGAGCAAGATTATAGTTCAGAAACAAACCGTCATACATATGGTCTGATTTTTGACAATTATGTTTCTGAAATTTTATGTATTATGTCGATTCATTGAATTATACTTTGCCTTTAATCTCAGACATACATATTCTTTTTACCTTTCTTTTTTCTCCTGGGCCTGGGGTGTGAATTCAGGGCTGCGCACTGTCCCTGAGCTTTTTTACTCAAGGTTTTAGTGCTCTACCACTTGAGCCACAGCTTCTCTTTCAGCGTTTCGGTGGTTAATTGGAGATAAGCATCTCACAGACTTCTCTGAACCGCCGTCCATGCGGCCTCCCGAGGGTCTCATGTGTGAGCCATCTGTGCCTCGCTGGAGCCATGTTTTAAAATAATTTTCAGTTGGTAGTAATTCTAATTCCTTTGGTCATTAACTAGTTTGTCCGATGTTTAGTAATATAAAATGCTGTTTCAGTTACACCTGAGGGGTGAGCCGTTTAAATCATCCTTGTGGGTTCCACTGCCAGCAGGTTCCCACCTACGCCACTTAGTTAATGTGGGTTTCTGCAGCCCGTCCCGTGCCCGTCCACACCCCTGCCCGTCCACGCCCCTGCCCTCCACGGGGCCCGTCCTGTGCCCATCCACGCCCCTGCCCTCCACAGGGGCCCGTCCTGTGCCCGTCCACGCCCCTGCCCTCCACGGGGCCCGTCTCCTGCCCGTCCACGCCCCTGCCCGTCCACGCCCCTGCCCTCCACGGGACCCGTCCCGTGCCCGTCCACGCCCCTGCCCGTCCACGCCCCTGCCCTCCACAGGGGCCCGTCCATGCCCCTGCCCTCCACAGGGGCCCGTCCACGCCCCTGCCCTCCACCGGGGCCCGTCCCATGCCCGTCCACGCTCCCGCCCTCCACAGGGGCCCGTCCCATGCCCGTCCAC